ATACCATATGCAACCAGGACTGAAGTTCTACTTAATAATGATAGCAGACAAAGCAGTAGCAGTAGAATGCCACGGTAGCTAACAATAATAAGAAAAAAAAACCTGCCATACAAAAGACTAAATCTTCATATCTCTTCCTATTTAGGCTTTACGGCAATCTTGCAAAGCTGGGGGATGATAGAGATAATTAATTTTTTTTAGAAACAGAAATTTACTCCACTATAAAAGTTAATTTTTCAAATGAATTGGCTAATACCCCCCGTTTTCTTACAACCTGCCTTTCTTTACTAGCCATTTGCTTTCTCTCCCTTTTCTCAACACTGCCTGCTTGCCCCTCCAGATTCCTATCCATCCTCCACCCTGCTCTGTGTCCTGGGAAACTCACCTAGACGGATCATATCAATGAGTGCTTTTGGTCTTTAAGTTCTTATTACATTTGGCTAATGGGAGGCAATGGCAGGAGACCGGTGGGCAGCAGGAGTGTGGGGGGTAGGGGTTAGACTTACCCTCTCTCAAAGTGCTGTCAGGGGCTGTCTCCAAACAGCTACCTTCTTCTGCTTCCAGGGACCTCTCCCTTTCCTTGACCTTTCAGGCCCAAAGATGATGTTTCCCCACTTGTTGCTATCCCTTGCTCATATCCTTAAACCTTGCCCACCTTTGTATATAATTCCCTTACTAAACTTTCCTCAAATTATCCATTTCAAGTGTGCTGTTTTTTTTTGCCAAGACCCTAATGAATACAATTCTCTATCCCTGTATCTTTGAAACACCTCCTTCAAAAGCTACCAAAGCCTTTTCACAAATATCGCCCAGTTAAATGGCATTGCCTACCTTGATTTCTTCCCGCAGCACCGATCACCTGTTGCTTCATCATATTCCTATTCCTATAATATTCCTATTATACTCAATAGACATGTGATCGACCTGTCTGTTTTCTCTTCCCATTGCTGCTCCTTAAACACAGTAATCTGCAAAGGTCGTTTCCTCAACTCTCAACTCATCTTTCCATATTTTCTCTACCAGGACTTTGCAATGCATGATCACTATACTGATGGCTTTCCAAAAGATCTCTTGAATCCTAGACTGTCATTCATACTCTAGTGCTGTTATTTTCAACCACTAGTTTTAGCTACATGTCCCTAACTCTAAGTACAAAATTATCAAGGTATAGAAAACCAGTATTTCTTTCTAGCTTTCTCACTTCCCTGAACTGACCACCAGTTTCTAAGTCCATTCTAGCATTCTATTCATTTCCATATATATAATTATTCCTTTATAAGTGGCTTTCATCTTTTTCTTCCTTCTCCATTGCTAATCCACTAAATTGGATTTAGGATTAGCTTCAAGTCTGGTAGTTGCACAAACTTTCAAATTAGTATCTTCCACAGTATCTAGCACATGGTCTTAATCATTTTGCATTTCAGTATTTGTTGAGTTAGTGGATCAAAACAAATTATAAAGGAACTGGTTTACAACTCTTTTATAAAAATTTAGATAACTAAGGGAAATACGTAGTATGTTTGGAAAGACAAATACGGAAAAAATACAATGCTCATATTCACAAGTAACCGAAGTACTGCTTGCATGCCAGGTACTAAACTATATACTCATATATGCATAGCTCATTTAATTTTTACACGTGTGCATGCATGGAGACACACACAAATGCTTATAGAGGAGATATTAACACCCACATAATACTGATGAGTCAATTAAGGTTCCAGGAAATGAAGTTCAAGTTCATAAAACCAGAAAGTAGAGGACTGTAAACTAAAAAGTATGTCTTCTATGTTAAGTCACAATGTTTAGTTTACCATGCACAGTGAACCTGATTATATTTATCATCAAGCTTTGAGCAAAAGAATGTTTTGGCTTATGTAAATATTACTAAGTTTTATCTAAGTAAGACAAATTAGTTAGTGGTATTAGAGCTCCCTATCAAATTCTCTGCCTTTTCTGATTTACTGGCCTTAGCTCGGGAACTGGACATGAGGAGGGGTAGGAGGCAGGATGGTGGAGACGGTGTAAGAGGGCTGAGCCCTAATTCAAGCGCCGCATTCAGATGGTGCTTTTAGAATCAAATGGAAAGCATAAGTTGTCAAAAAGTCAAACTGAAACCATGAGTTCTCCAGAAAGGACATGAAGCAAGCAAACACTGGGGCTCAACCGTAGCTAAGCTGGGTTTTTACCGTGAGTTTTTACGAACACATTAGCTACCTGCTAAACCAACCCTGAGGGACAGCAGCCTGCCTTGGAACGGGAGTAAGCGAATGGGAGGATGGGAACTGGCACTTGTTGCTTGGTTCATAACCCAGATTAAAAATGATTTTTTTTCTCTATTTTAAAGTGCCTAATAGTAGGAGTTCTCAATTTAGATGAACTGTAGTGGAAGGACTAAGGAGGGTAAATAAGCCTGAAAGTCACTCTCTATCACTGATAGGGTGTTTAAAACTAGGTGTGCTCCACTGATGGATTGAGACATTATTGGTGAGAATGTACTGTGAACACGAAGAGCAGAAAAAGAACCACAGACCTCGAGTAACGCTGACTGGGTCAGTTTATAAAATACTGTTATTTTTCACTGAAACTTCATGAAACAAAATGACCCATGGGAGACAACAAATAGATATTTTCCAAAAATGAAGGGCATTGTTCATGGTTTTTCAAGAACATTATAAATGCTATAAGCTATTTTAAAAAATAGGTCAATGATAAACATACAATGCTCTTAAGTACAGCAAAGAGCCCACTTAGCTTAGTGTTTTCTGCTTGACAGAGCCACAAGACATTATGTATATGACAATGCCCAGTCGTACCCTCAAAGCAGGTAATAAATCTGTAGAACTCTGCTCCCTTTCGTTCCAGCTCATCCTCACTTTTTTATATAAAAACACCAATGGTCCTTTTAAAGCAGGGATACCCAATTTTTTGAATTGTGAACCTTATGAGTGTAAAAATATTCTGAGAACTCGTTCCATAAATATATGTGCCCGTCTGTAAATTGTAACAAACAGTGCTATACCAATACATAATAGATAGATGTAAAACTTACATAGAAAGAGAATTATAATAAAGGATGGAAAAGAGATAAAGAAATTAAAAATTTTAATAATATCTTAATACTAATTTACAAAATATCTTTTGGCTCAATTAAGAAAACCTTAAAAAAAATCTTATAAAAAATTGTGAGGTAGATTTGAGGGTCTGATTCTAAGTTCATTTTCAATAGCTTGTCCCATTAATCACATTAGCTCGGAAGATATAACTGAGACATGTAAAGCCACGGAAAAAGGTGCATTGTTAGCACTACCTAGTAAATAAAAATGCTTATTTTTAATGTAATTTACTAATTATAGTAAGGTTTTAACTGAAATTCTGCTAGTAAAATTGCATCTTTCTTGATGTTTTCTAATAGGTTCATAACACATCTAAACACAGATTAAGGAAGACTTTAAAACAGGTCAGAAAATTTTGTTTTTCAAGTTTTTTAATTATATGTAGCTAAAACAGCAGGGTGATACATTTACATCATTTTTTGGCAAAAAAAAAAATTCCCCAAACAGCGGACATTTTCTAAAAATCTATTTATTCTCAAATGTCTTCATTTTTAAAAATTTCTTTAAAAATGCAGTCATTTTCCCATTTACTTGAAACATGTAGTATTTGCCTTCAAGGGTTTGATTATGTTTCTTTTGTAAAAAGTACCTACATACAAGTAAAAAATACCTATGCACATGTCATTTGTCATCACAGGTGATGACAAATTTTCAAACCTCTTGTTTTCATTAAAAAAGAAAAAAAAGGCACAACAATTCCTGAAAATACCAATTCATGAAATAGCCAGATAACCTCTTGCTGCTCTAAGATTGTCATTCCCTTGGATTATCTGCAATGTTATGTATGAAAGGCCCGCCATTTAGGATAGTACCCATAAGTCTACTAAGTTGGGCATGTGAAAAGTGCAACATGTCACGACATGCTGAAAGTGAACACTTGAGGGAGCCTGTCCGTGCCAATCCCTTGCTACTCAGACTCCCATTCTTCCTCAGGGAAAACCTGGAGCTGACTGAGACGGGCTGACACATGGACCTGATGAGGCAGCCAGCGTCAATCTGTGTATTAAATATCAGCAAATGTTAATTTCTTTATTCAGAAATTAGGAAATTACTATTTTAGTAAATTAAAATTCTCCTATTTTTTCCTGTTCCCAATGGCTCATCTTGTATGTTCCACAGAATGTTTACACTGGAGACTTCTGCTTTAAAATATATACTCTTGAGGATTTAAACATTTCCAAGACAATTTCAGACAATGCCAACAAAAATGGTTACCCCCAAATTTCATATTTCTTTAGTGTCGAGGGTTTTTGAGAAGATTATTATCAATACCAGTTTGAAGGAACAAAAGTGTTCTTTAGAATAAGCAGCAATATTCTACCACTTACATAAATTATTCTGATAAACCATCAATGATGTTGACTATCAGAATCTATCAATTCCAGGGGCACCTGGGTGGCTCAGTGGGTTAAGCCTCTGCCTTCAGCTCAGGTCATGATCTCGGGGTCCTGAGATCGAGCCCTGCATCAGGCTCTCTGCTCAGCAGGGAGCCTGCTTCTCCCTTTCTCTCTGCCTGCCTCTCTGCCTGCTTGTGATCTCTGTCAGTCAAATAAATAAATAAAATCTTAAAAAAAAAAATCGACCAATTCCAGTACTATTGTAAAACAATGTAAAGCTAAATGGGTTTTGAATGATAAGACCATAGCTACATTTTATCGCTTTATAGAACAACGGAACTAAAGTATAATAAAACACAGGTGGTTATTTTCATTAGTAACAAGATTTAAATCAGTTTTAAAAGAGACTAGGTGACTTCCAATACATGGTAAGAGTCCTTTAGAAAATTCATTTCTCCAGGAAAATCAGAGAGAAGAGCAAGGGTCTAAAGCGGGGCTAGCTACCCGATTCCAAGTCTGACATCTCATCTCAGGGTGTGTGGCTTACCTTTGCTCCATGCTTATGTAGAACTTCCATGACATCATTGTGAGCTCGCTCTGCTGCGACGTGCAGGGGAGTCATGAAACTATGGAGAGGAGAAAAGGAAAAGGAATTTCCTAACTTTTGTTGCATTTTCCCTTTAAGAACCGCACAACTTCTTCTGCAATTACACTTACTCTTTATTCTTTTCATTAACATTCGCTCCTTTCCTAAGTAATAGTTCTGTCACTTGTTTTCTTTTGGGATGCAGGGAGGCCACAGCACAGTGCTGTAAAGTAAACACAACTAAGTTAATAAAATAAACTTCTATTTAAAAGTACATTCCAGAATTAAATAGCATCTGCTGATGATTTAGAACATTGTTCTGTCAAAACACACTTATATATTTTACATTATGGAGATGATCAAATTCTTTCTAGATACACTGGAAGAATAAGACACATGCCTTTAAACCAAGGTGAAATTATCTTAGTTAAGCACTAAGAAGGACTTTCTTTTCCTTTGGACAATAAATAATTATCCAGTATATACTCATTTGAAGGTATCAGAATGCGGCCTCTCCAAAGCCACAGATACCCTCACCTGACCTAGTCAATCCCTCATGAGCTTGTCAGTCACATAAATCAATGGTTCTCAAACCCTGCCACAGAACTACTCCTAGCACTATAAGCCAATATGCCCAGGGACAGGCAAGAAGGTAATAGACTTGAAGGACTTTAGCGGAAGAAGTATTCTCAGAAATTTTATGTTTTATCCTGTATTTATACAATTTTTGTATTCAACTTGTTTTATATAAATGTTTGTATTAAAATTTTAAGAGTAAAAACCTACTTGCCAATGAATAAAACGAAAACTCCAAAAAAGCAGGTCAGGTTTACGCTGCTGCTCTGAGCATCTCCAGGCATAATCCTGGAGAGCTTGAATGCATCTGACCCCAGTTTGAGGGCCATGTATTTAAGTGCACATACAGTTGGCCCATTTCAGTTTGCCAGCTCTTTTAATGTCGTTTTCAGCAAGAACCGACTACAGCTTGATTTTTTTTGTGCCAGATATATGTGAGAATGTTAACGGAAGCATATTTACAGGTCTGTGAGATAGGCATCGTGTATGTTTAAATTTGAATTCAGGAATAATTTTACCAGCCCTACATCTGAAACTTAATGTGGTCAATGACAAGGAAAATAAGCTAATCTTTCTGAAAGGACATTAGAAGAAAAAAACATGAACAGTTTATAAAACAATTTGTACAGTCTGGAAAAAAAATCACAATCTTATCATTTTTCTATAATGAATGTAGTAATTCTCTGGATAATTAAGAATAATTCTTTGGATAATTGCTTCAAAGGATGATGCAAGCACCTCTGAAAATAATTTTCTCTGTATAAACAAATAGTCTTTACCTAGCAACCATAAAAAAAAACACAAAGATTCTAAAAAGAAAATCATACCTTTTATTTTATGAAGGAACTGGCCACCAAAGTAGATTTGTTATAATATGGTTGGGTAAAGACAAAAGTAAAAATAATCCCCAAATCAAGAGTGAGCAAATGTCTATTCCCTCACCCATGAAAGCAATCAATGCAACCAACACTAAAATGGTAATTCTTGGCATTTCAGATACTAAAGTTACTTTAAGGTTTCTGAAATGAAATCATCCTTTGTACCTCCACTACTATTACTGACCTAAGGAATGGATTAACAATAAAATCTTACCAGTGCAGTTTCATGAGACTGTGGTTGTTTGAAATTAATGATTTCCAAAGCGAGTGTTTTTTTGACTTTGGCTAGATCTGCTTCTCTGGCTGCTTGTAGTAAAGAATGACCTTTAAATTCATCTGTTAATGAAATAATGGTTGACAAAAAAGATTTAAAATCTGTACCAATCATTTTAGCAGGATTACAAATCAAAAAATTATTAATTTTACATATTGCTCTATTTTACCAATAGCAGCAGCAGATTGATACAAAGATAAAGGTGACAAGGATGTATAGTTACTGAAAATTTTTGAAAAATGTATACTCTGAAATAAGACTGTTTTATACTCTCAGAATTCATAAGGATACACATACAAAGGATACACATACACTCCAGGTACACTTAAACACAAGCAACCAAAAATGTCCACCAAATGGAAACCAGTTACAAACACATACCCACTGGACTACTTCAGAGCTCTTAAACAACAAAGATAGGTCTGTACATACTTTCATGAAAGTACATATAATGAAATGAAAATTCAAGTAGTAAAAGAGGAAAGACAGGTTGACCCAATTTATCGCACTGTTACTACTACCATTGCCACCACAACTAAATACAAGAAATGGTACCAAAAAGGCACTTAGAAAAATAGTCGCCAAATAATAATAGTTTTAGCACAGAGAAGGGAAGAACTGAACTATGAGTTTGAGAATTTTTCCAAAAACAATATTTAATTACTTGTACAAGATTTTTTCAAAAGTGATTTTTTTTTAAAGATTTTATTTATTTATTTGACAGAGATCACAGGCAGGCAGAGAGGCAGGCAGAGAACGAGAGAGGGGGAAGCAGGCTCCCCGCTGAGCAGAGAGCCCGCTGCGGAACTCGATCCCAGGACCCTGAGATCATGACCTGAGCTAAAGGCAGAGGCTTAACCCACTGAGCCACCCAGATCCCTCAAAAGTGATTTCTAAATTAGTGGCATGAATAACAATCCAATACTTAAAAACTTACAGTCATTTTTTCTATTTTTACAATCCTGGTTTGTATTTTGATACGACCACTTGCTAACAAAAAGCTGACAATTGTTCTAAAAAGATATAAATGGTTTATAACCGAATATATTACACAGCAGGCCTCTGCAGCTGCCTACTACCGCATTCCTTTCTTTTCCTCTTTCTCCTCTCCTGAGTTCCCCATCTTACTCCCTTCTGTTCCTCAAAAGACAGAAAAAGAGATGCACACACACACACACGTGCCTTAATAACTACTATTATTGTTCAAGGTCTCAGTTTAGATACACTGGATAAGCCTTCCTGATGCTCCTCATTATTGGGTTAGGATTCCATCTTATGAAGTCCACTGCAGTTGCATTTACCCTTCTATCACAGGACATACCACATGACCTTATTTGCTAGGGGAGTCCCATCACTTAGCACACTGCTCGCTATATAATACAGTATGTACTCATTTGTTGCGTGTATGCTGAATATTTATAAGTCATGGCAGGTTCAGAGGAAAACCATTTTTATAAAACCTCTTATTTAGTGGTACCTTATCATTGCTAAATTCCTCAAAGATTAGGAATTTGAAACATCAGAAACTCAAAGTCAAGTTCAAATGAAATAAAAGTAAACCAGTACTTTCAAATAACAAAATTATAGATTCTCATTTTAATGAGCGAATTAGGGATAAATCAAGTGAGAGAATTACAAACTGCCATATGTAAGGAGCGGGACCCTGACCACTACAAAGGAAAGAGATGTCCTGAGAACTGCTTTCAAATAAAAAGTACAATTTCGCTTTGGTCATCAGTCTAGAAAAATATCAGTTGAATTCAAATCATACTGGCTTTTTCTCTAATGACAAATGTCCTACGAATATCAAAATAATAAAAGCAATTCTACTTTTTCAATTATTCCTTTAAGTTCAGTAAAGGTACTCAGGAAAAACTTAAATGGACAAATTCAAGAAAAACATAAACAATAATACTGTACTACTAAGGAAATCAAGAAATTAGGATATAATAATGCAATTAAACAACATGATATTTTCTCAAATAACAAGAAGTAAAATATTCCTTTTCTTTGCTCTTTTCAAAAAAGGTAAAGATTTCTGCCCAAATTGACCTTCGAATGTAAAATATTTTATTGATGTATACTCAAGAATAAAAAAGAAGAGAATGGAAAATCTATCAACAATATAATGGTCCCTTCTAAATGCAAAGGTTACATAAAGGTTTCTTTTTAAAAATCTCAAGGAAGTACTTAAGTAGCTAAAAAGAAAGCAGTAAAACTGCAAATTACTCACACTTACCCTGAAAACTTAATATTTACAAAATGCCTTAAAAATTTCTTTTCAAATGCATTTTGAAATTAGAACGAAAGCTACTTTCAATATTTTCTCCTCTAGTATGTGCAGAATCCAAACTACCTTGTTCATTTGGCTTCATGGAAACAACATGTGAAAAAAAAGAGAGAGAGAAAAGCAGGAAAAAAATGTGTATAATGAAAATGCTATGACCATGGATATCATCAAAATATTGTTTTTCTTTGTTTCTTGTATAATTTTCTTTAAAATGAAAAAGACTATATTTATTTGGCACAGAGAGAGAAAGAGTACAAGCAGGGGAGCCACAGGCAGAGGGAGAGGGAGAACCAGACTCCCCGCTGAGCAGAGAACCTGATGTGGGACTTATCCCAGGATCCTGAGATCATGACCTGAGCCAAAGGCAGTCGCCTAACTGACTGAACTACCCAGGTGTCCTCTTATACAATTTTCTTAAAAAGAACTTAAAAAGTAATTGAACTTAAAACGTAAAAAGTAATTTAAGAACTTAAAAAGTTCTTAAAAAGAACTTAAAAAGTAATTGTGAATGCCTACTGTAAGGCAGCGGACATGACGAGGAAAACCATACTTAGAGCAGTTCCAACTTTGTTAAATCCTTTTCTTCAAATAATTCCTTGGTAGAATCTTACTTAATAAAATAAAAAATATTGAGAAGGTTGAAAAATACTCTCATCAGGGAACTTCTTTTACAAAACTATACAAATTTCTATTAACTCATCATCTGTACAGTGGAATCAGATGGTCCAATGAAATGCACTATAAAAACTCATACTACTACTCATAATTTGCAAAATGTTTGATAGGAAAAAGAAGTTAAAGGTGATATGGGGATAAAGCTAAGCCCTGGGTACAAACTAAAAGAAGGAAATTAGAAAAAGATAAAAAAAAAGTTTCGAGTTCAAGTCAATAAACCTGTGCATAGTGCACAATGCACCGTGTTGGGTTGAGGGTAGTTGGACAGATGGGCCCAAACACGAAAACCAGCAATACATTTTTATTAGGTAACAAAGCACCGCGCAGTTGCTAAGAAGACAATAATAAAATGAAAAGTCTTTCTAAGAATTTAAATTTCACTGGAAAGACAGAACATACACATAGAAGAAGGAACTATATAATGCACGATAACATATGACAAGGGTCATACGAGTGGGAGGGAGAATAAAGGCACTTCTACAAGGATTCATTGCTAAGACATCTGTCTAGATATAATCTGGTTTGTGCTGGCCTTTAATCTTGTTGATGTCATCTGTTCTAGTACCAAAATAAGTTTAAACTTCTAGTTAAGCAAAATGAAAATTGCACCTCTTCCTGTCTTAACATAAGCCAGCTTAAAATCTGGTTAAGTTTAAACGACATTATCATCATTTTGACGCTGCCTTTTTCTTAAGTTATCATTTAAAGATTTTCTTCGGCATTGAAGTCCAGTTACCTGATTCTTTGAATCCTGAGAGAGAATACCAATCAGGAGACCAGTTAAATATTGGATAGGTGAGGCCTAGTTTAATTTAAACCTGCAATGCCCACATATAGAATTAAATATACCTCAGTATTTGATATGACCAGTAAATGTAATGTGGTGTCCTGAATGAGATCCTGGACCAGAAGAAAGATCTGAGGTAGAAACTGAGGAAATATGAGTAGAGTATGGTATTTAGTTAATAATGTATGTCAAGTATATCATACTAATGTAAGATGTTGACAGGAGGGCAAACTGGATATGAAATATATGGGAACTCTCTGTACTATTTTTATAATTTTTCTGTAAATCTAAAACTATTCCAAAACAAAAAGTTTATCTACAAAACATGCCCATGTATATGTAGGTAATATATACCAGCATTTGAGACTATTAATTCCACCAAATCATAAAAAGGATCTTACTCAAATTAGGGCAAGTGATCGTACTTGGGCTATATAACACACATAAAAAATAGAAACATGACTGTACAATCCTACAGGGGTTGTGAAACAGTGAGTCCTCAGTAATGTTATATATCAAATATTATTATCCACAGTACAAGAATATAAACTCTGTGAGCGCGGAGAATTTTTTTCTGGTTTGTACGCTGTTGTATTTCCAGTACCTGGCACACAGTAAGCATGCGATAAATGGTTACTGATTGACTCAGCCTCATCAGCCTTAAAAGAAAAGTACAGGACCCGAAATGAGGATTATAAAGTAGTGTATGTGTAAGAACAGAAGGTTAGTATTGAAGTGGGACAAAAGACCAGTTTAAGGACTAAACTAACAAAACTGAGATATTCTAATTTACAGCAAGCAATATTGAGTTTAGGATATAAATACATACAAGTCAATCTCTCCCGGAGCTCAGGAGTGGGAGCCATATCTACGGCGCTTTTGCCATGGCAGTTGACTAAGGTAGGATCGGCACCGTGGCTAAGTAACAAAGAACAGACTTCCACGCGATTCTTGGAAGCAGCCTCATGGAGTGGAGTGAACTGCCAGAGATCCATAGCATTAACACAAGCTCCATGCTGAATGGAGAAAAAAAAGTTTTAGGTCAGTGATCATTTCGCTGGGTCAAATAAAACACAGAAGACATTTATTTCCCTTGTAAATTTCAGCTATGACTCTTCGAAATGTCAAGAAGGGTTTTAGCTTCTTTAATATCAGTTTTTACAAACAATTTAAAATAAAGTGAATGTTATAAAAATTTTAAGGCAACAGTAATATTTTTAAAACATCTTTTATTTTCTTAAAACTCTTAACTGGCCTACGAATCATGTGAAAACTTATGACAAGTTAGAAAAAAAAGCAAGTAATGCTCAGTATTTTAAAATTTCTCTTACCTTTAGTAGCAGTTCTGTGACTTCATAATGTCCATACGAACATGCATTATGAAGAGGCACAAGTCCACTAAATGAAAAAAGGCTAATTAAAGTACTGCAATTTCAAATAATGTAGTCATTTACCCAAGAAGTGCTAAGAGACAAAATTTTAATAGATTCCAATATACTAAAAATATCTTAAAGTATTTAGTACGAGGATACAAGGCATAGCTAATGTTTAACCTTTTATATTTACCTTGTGTCTTGTGTTTATAACCCTTAAATATAATGATAAAAATACCAATTAGAAAAGTAAGTAAGAGCATGTGTTAATTGACCACTGCTTGCTTTATAGATCAAGTATCACAGAAAAATGTTACTTGAGAGTGAGTTGAAATATTTCTACCATTTTATTTCATTTTGGAAAGTAATTTCCAGCTTAAGAATGAAATATCCGAACTCCTATAACTTGCATCATTCTGTGCGAGTCAAAGACTGCCATTTTTGTGGTGCGCTTCTCTTGATGACTCACCTATCGTACACCCGTCTGGTTTTGGACACGCACAAGGAAACCGAGATGTACAAGAGCATCAGGCACGTGTGCTCCTATACTATTGGGACACCATTTGCATATGGCAAACCAGCAGGCGCCGACAAGGAAGAAGCAGCACCACAAAGAATAGATTTGGAATGACAGATTCCCTCTCTGATCACTGTCTCAAATACTGAGTTGTTTCTTCCTTTCCTATGTCTTCTGACATGGAGAGGGGCAAAGTGAAAGAAACCCTCCTCTCTGGGCTGCTTCGCTTTATGCTGCCAATCACAGGAGTGTATTAGGGACCTCCTTTGCCTGGGCAGTAAGGTCAATATCTTCTTGATTTTAAGGCGGGATAATGAGGAATGTTAGCCTATCACATAGGAGCAGAACTACTTCCTAGATGCCCCGAAGACTAGGTAGGGAATGGGTACCAAGTTTTCTAAAATTTGCTTTCTTAGTAGTCCCTCCCATCTCCCACCACTCCCATATCAACCTTTGTAAGTTTTCTCAGGTCAGATGTCCAGGATTTTATCAGGATAAAAACCAAAGTAGAACATTATAAACTTACGATTTTGGTTTATCCATAAAAGATGATCCTTACATACCGGGTGAATAGGATAGCTATGTTACTGGCTTATCAGAATTTTCAGTCTGTTTTATCTCCCTTTCTGGAATGTCACTTGAGTTGAAAAATCGTAAATGTAATTGAGAGAAGCAAATTTTAACTTCAAATAATAGAAATGTGATAAAATTTAACTAATTTAGGCCATCACCATGAGAAAGCCTCTTCAGTAAGTAGAACATGAAAATGGAGTCAAACCGAAGTTCTTGACATTCTTAAAATGCTACAGGAGCTGTAAAGAAATGGGTGCCTTTGTCCAGTGTGCAAAAACCTTAAGTGTTCTGGATGCGGTGAACAAAGCATAAGGATTCCTGGGTGAGACCATTCAAGGGAGTAAATGGACACACCTACCCTTTGTCTTTCGCGTGAACATCGGCTCCGTGCTGGAGAAGCAACTGCACTATCCGAACTCTGTTGTAGCCCGCTGCTAGATGTAGAGGGGTAGACTAAAAAAGAAAAAGAAAAACACATCCCCTCCTAAGGTAAATCGTTCTTGCTTTGTCATTTCATCGCTGTTTACTTAGACTGAAACACAGTGAACGTGCACACACGCAGAAGAGGCAGAGTGGAAGTGACACAAGGTCATATTTCATAACTGGATGATAGACAATTCCTTCATCTCGGGAGGCAAATCTAAAACTTTAGTGTCATTCACCTATTTCTCCCACTTGTTTTTTAAGGCCTTCAGTAATCTAGCTCTACCCCAACTTCTCTACTTTCTTACTGCTTTCCCACAGGAACGATTCTCAGCACTCTGGGAAGACTTCTTAGGGTTCACATTCTTCACAGCCGGAAACGTTCTTCTTTATCCTACTTTTCGGCCCACTTTTCAAGTCTGAGTGTTTCAATCCCCATTCTATCATAAGGCCCCCCCTACAGAGCTGGCTCTCAAAATTTCTCTTGAATACGAAGGTTGAAAAGCCTCTCTAAAGAACAATTTGAAGAAACTTTAGTGGCACCAAAAAGGACAATGGACCGTATTCATTCCATGTGGCTGTTAGCAATGGGTCAAAATGAATTTGCTGTATCAGATGCAATGACATGACAAGATAGTATTTAATTCTATTTTATGTACTATATATGCAGCATAAATACAAAATAGTTTCTCCCCAACTAATTTCCGCCACATTAATTTGAACCACGTTATTAAAAGGTTCTCTGCTCATATTTTATATGGTAATGAAAAGAATCAAACTTCTTTTTAAAAAAAAAAAGGCAATGACATTAAATTAAAAGGTTCTCTGCAACCACTGCAATTTCCCCACCTTTGCTCACTTACTTAAAGTTTAAATACTGTAACAGCTTTTCACACAGGGTCTAGTATACCTTAATGTACTCTCATTTTTCCTGTCTTCTATCTGGGCCTTGATATTTAGGAAGATTTTCAATTTCTTTTCTTCATATACTATAAATGGCAAGATAACAAAAGTATTACTACTGCTTTCAAGGCAGTATATTTTATATATTCTGAGAATCTTTAAGTTTAGGAAATAGTTTTGGGCAGTTCACAGCTAATAATGAGGAGACCAAGTAGATGAGAAGAGAATCCCAGAGAGGATGTCAGGAAACCTGATTATATTCCTGGATTTTATGAAACTATGAAAGTCATATTCCCTATACATCTCAGCCTTTTCATGTATAAAACAGATAAAATCATTCATCCTAGCTAGTTCAAAAATGTGCTAAGAGAAAGTTTTATTTCATAAACACTTATAAAATGTAAAATACCATATAAAAAATAATTAAAATTTCTTTACCATCAAACAACTTGCCCATCCAAATTTCTGATTCCAGACACATGTCGAATGTTACTGCAAATAAGACTGCCAGGAAATATCAAGTTATCTGCAAAACTGTTTCTCCCCCTCCTTTAATATTTTAAAGATGCTGCTTCATTATCTTCTGGCTTGTATCATTTTGGACTAGAAATTTGCCAACATCCTTATGTTTGTTCGTTTGCACATGTGGCTTCTGTTTTGGATACATTAGTACTTTCTCTTTATCACTGGCTTCAAGCAACCTAATTTGAAGGACATTGGTATGCCCTTCTGCTGCTGCTGTTCCTTCTCCAACTTCTCCTTTTGTGATGCTTGGGGCCTGCTAGGCTTCTTAGATCTGTGGTTCATAGTTTTCACCAACTTTGGAAAATATTCTATTATTTTTTCAAGTATTTTTTTCTGTCCTCTCTCTCCCACCATTCTCTCTTTAGGGAACTTCAATTACAATTATGAATATATATATGTGTATATATATACACATATATATATTCATAAATTTTAAGATACATATTAGGTTGCTTTCAAAGCTTATTTTTAAGCTTTATTAAATAGAACAAGAGCAACCTTTAGACTAGGACTAATTTCCCCTTCCAGGGAGGTATGACCCTTCTGAGTACTCTATGATAGCTGATGAATGAGGAAGTTTGCCCAGTCCGGCTGGTAGCAACAGAATGATCACAGATGTGGTGCAACTTGACGTGCCGGGATTGCTACCTCTAAATTCTCTTTCAGTGGTTCTTTTTATCACCCCATGTGGCTTCCTCAGACTCCTCTAATCGGTACTCAGCTGAAAGGAGTCAGGGAAACTTTGCATATCTCTGGAGCTCTCTTCTTTGCAGTGCTCTGTTCACTGGCCCTCCACCTGCTAACTCTTGCCACGTGGTCTCCCAAGCTCCTAATTCCACCTTCTCATCTCAGGGAGATCACTGGGCTCCCCCTGGGTTCCTCTCTCTGATTTAAGGACTGGAAATGCTTTCTAGGCAGTAAGCTGGAGCAATCACACAACTTGGCTTATTTAATGCTTATCTCTCAGGGGTCACTTCCATGTACTGCCTGATGTCCAATTTCTGAAAACCATTGTTTCATATATTTTGTTTAGCTTTTTTATAAAAAATAATTTCAAGAGGGAAGATAAAATTAGTTTCCATTACTCTATCTTGGCTCACCTTCAGGACTGAATTGGACTTTACAATACAGTAGGGAAGCTTCCTCCAGAGACAATGACTGCTTTGGTTGTCCGGCCAATAAGTCAGTAAGCTTTTACAGGACTTAGCTGACATTTATTATTATATGAAAAAAACTGACATCTTCATTACTGATGCACAAAAAGATTTTCCTTTTTCATATTAAGAATCTTTTGCAAAATTTTGTTCAAATACATTTAATCTAATAACTGTTTTTCTTATTCTTAAAAATGAACAAAGTCCCTAAATGGATGAATACATATACATACACTTTAACTGTTTATTTAGAAGGATAAAACAGAAGAAAAAATATTTAGTTTCCAGATTTTTAAGAAGCACTGAGACTAAAAATTATTTATAGTGCTTTGAAAATGGTTATATATTTAGTTTCTAAATTACTGTAATTAGGTAAATTAGAAGACTGTAATTGACAAGGTAGGAAGTGATAGGAGGCTTGAAATAGAGCAGTTGTGAAAGAAACAGAGTTGAAGAGTGAGTATCAAAAACTATTAGAAAGCAGAATTGATAGAATCTGATAATTGATGCAGGTAGTAAAGGATACAGCAGTTCCAATTCAAAAATGTCAGTGATAGATGAAAAGAAAGGATTGATATAGGTTGGAAAAGGGAAGGGAGGAGAGAAGAGGAAGCCAGAGGGAAAGATTTCGAGGTTTGGGCTTATCGAATTTGAAGTGCCTGATACCCCAGTGATTACAGGACTAACTAGAATTCAAGGAGTGGTGAAGGCTGAACATAAATTTGGTTATCACTCGCATTCATTTAAGATAATGCAACACTGGGGTGCCTGCGGGTCCAGCTGATTAAGTGTCCGCTCTCGGTTTTGGCTCAGACCATGATCTCAAGGTCATGAGATCACACCCTGTGTTGGGCTCGGCACTCGGCTGGAGTCTGCTTAAGACTCTCTCTCCCTCTGTCTCTCCCTGTCCCCATGCTCTCTCTCTAAAATAAATAAATAAAATCTTAAAAAATAAAATATTTTAGCATTTGCAATATACATGGCAGCATGGTAAGTGCTAGGGCCAGCGTGGTCACAAGAAAGGCACAGTACTTTGCCTTTATGAGTCTACTTATTCCTCCAAAACATGAGTCCCTAAATGAAATAACATATATACTAACTCCTCAAAAGGCCAAAGAGGAGGAAAAAGAAGTCTAGGGTCTGAGGAATTACCCAGAGAAAGCAGACAACTACTATTAAATGTGACAAATACTGTAGGAAAGGAAGTTCAGGATGTCCTAAGCGGCTGCACACCTAAACCACTCTGAGGCCAGCGGCGGGGGCTGCCATTAGGGCAGATTCTCCAAAGAACTGTTCCCCGAAGGCAGACTTGAGAGGAAACAGAAATCACTGAGGCAGCAGAATGAGGAAATTTATTCCAGGTAGTATGAAGAGCACATATCCATTCCACCAGACACAGAGGCATGAAAAAAAACTCTCCAGCTATTACACTCTGTTAATTATCCTAGCATTTAGAAAATCACTTTTATCATTACTTTGCCATTTGGCAACTGAGGTATAAAAGTGGCACTGTGTGTTAACCTTTCATCAAATTTAGTCCTAGACCACATGATTTTAATTGCTTTGCATCAGAAGATAGTAGTTTGAGGGGCGCCTGGGTGGCTCAGTGGTTAAAGCCTCTGCCTTCGGCTCGGGTCATGATCCCGGGGTCCTGGGATCGAGCTCCGCATCGGGCTCTCTGCTCAGTGCAGGGCCTGCTTCTCTCTCTCTCTCTCTGCCTGCTTCTCTGCCTACTTGTGTTCTCTGTCTGTCAAATAAATAAATAAAATCTTAAAAAAAAAAAAAGAAGATAGTATTTTGGTATATAATGTTTAAATGCTAAACAATATACCTACTGGACTTTTTCTAGAGGAAAAACCTCTGGGATCTTAATAGGGTATGTCTGTTCAAATCATCCTTTGTTCTTAATTTTTACTTTTTCTTTTTGCTTTTTGTCATTTCTTCAAATTTATTGCATACATTTTACAGATTTGTATATGCCCTCCAGTGATGCTATTAAGTTTGTGTAATTAGCATCCGCATTGGAACTACTACTGGGAAAGGCTCATCTCACTTACTCTGTACTTACTGTCTCTCTGAATTCATCTATTCCCTTAAGAGTCAGCTACCGCTACTTAGGCGCTGCTACCATTTGGCGAACCGGCGCTGTCGTTCTCGCTCGCCTCCATTCGTCCAGCCATCTTCAGTTCAGGTCTTCTGCCGCCAGAGTTGCCACCCACCCCCAGTTTATTCTCTACAGAACAACTACAGTGATCTTCCCAAAACTGCAGTCTCAAGTAATTTCTGCTTCAGGTTCTTCAGACATTTCCCACTGTTCTTAGGGTCTCCCGCAGTCTCACATATTACACTTAGCTGCTGAGATTTTGTTGTTGTTGTTGTTTTAAAATTTTTATTTATTTATTTGACAGACAGAGATCACAAGTAGTCAGACAGGCAGGCGGGGGTGGG